TAATTAATTGGAGGGAGACCTGTATTTCTAAATAAATTTGATCAAAGTTAAAACATAATATAATACAGGTAGTTGACTAAGTTCAAAGCAAGAGAACACGGATGGTTTCTTTATTTCAATAAAGATTCACCAAAGTACATACAGCCCAATCTTAACCTATCATGTGTTTTCTGCTGGTTAGTTATGAATCATAAATTTTTATCACTTTAAAATGAAAAAAAATAAATAAATAAAAAATTGATTTATGTAAAGTATGCACTAAGATAAGTCACTCTTCCAACTTTTTAGGACAATGTTATACACAGTATATCAATTTTTATAGTTGTGTTAAAGAATTATAGTTGTGATTACATAACACATGATCTGTGATATAAGTAGGTTGATCCCGGACATGCCAATTAGTACCTCTTTTGGCCTAATGCATATTGCTGCTGATATCATACATGTATTTCAAAATGTATTCATCCTTCTATACCCGTTTATATGTAAATGCTATTCCTCATTCTGTGATTGGCTGCAAAATATTTAATTATTTAAATGTGAAAAAACCCTAGATTCTATAGAATCTGTAAGGTTGTGATTAGAGAGCAATGCCTTAAGCTGGGTAAAAAATGCGCTGACAGTGCTAGGCTAACGCGATTTTATGAAGAGCACAACAGGAAGGGCGAGGTGTGCACAGCGGATCGTTTTTAACGGCAATCTGCCATCGACAATTAACAGACAGTATCGTCCAGCGCTCAGATAGAAAAATTTGTCAGCCAAAGGTCGTACGGTGCATTGTATGCCTGACTTTAAACACCACACTTACAGCATCATACTGACAACAAACCAAATGACAACTCTACAATCAAATATATTATTTTCATGTGTAAATAATTGATTTTATTTATTTTTTCACTACACCACATAATTCACCTTATGAGACAGAAACAAAAATAACAAATCTAACACCGAGTTAACTCTGGGCATATGGAAACTCTAGTTTATCATAAATAAAGATAATTTCTACTCATGAAGTTTAATGTGTTAATTATTCAGGTTATGCCGGGAACCCGCATACACAGTCACACCAACCCACACACTGGGAAACGCACCCACCCACCCCCACCCATTCGCTCACCTCTAGTTTGACACGACAGGAATCCTATTTATTACGATACATTCACACAAACTATTCGGAAAGCATACGTACCTAAAACAAATAAATTTTCTATTTTTAGACAACACAGTATCTTTGCATCTGAACCAAATTTGCACCAATTCAGATAACACTATGGTTCTGGAGCACCATTGAAAATCAGAAATGCAAACCAATAGGTATGCATATAAACTGTATATTTTACAGGTATGACCCTACTGGCCAAAAAAGTTAAATAATTTGGGTTAAACGGGTCATCATTTTCCATTTAAATTAAGTGAACTGTCATTAACAATAGAGAACCTAAAATGTAGAAACACAATCTTTGTCAATCCACAAACAATGTCGATTTTTTTCCGGGTTTATTTCCCCATCTTTACTTAATGGCTCACACGAAAGAATAATGCTATTCAATTTTCGTAATAAAAATAACAGACAGTTTCAAACTGTATCAAATATACCTTAATACAACCTTATTTCCTAATATTTGTCTTCAACAACACAGTTTAAAAACAGCATGTATGTAATATTAATTTTAATAATAAAATAATAATAATAATTATTATTAGTCTTTCAAATTGACATCCCTGAAATGAATTCATGAAATTAAAAACACAAAATTTAATTTTTTAGTAACAAAACACTTGATATAATTTCACCA